ATTCTCAATCATTATTATAAGTCTTTGGATTTATTATTATCTTTGGTATTATCTTTGAGTAAAGAAAAATAATTGTGCAATTTTTAAATATGTAGAATCTGAGAAAAATGTTCCTTTCCTCTATTTGGAGATCGTGTGGAACGTAATTTTACACGATGTTCCGTGTTGGTCGATCTGATGGCGAGTCGTTAAAGAGTCGACAATCTTCGGCAGGTGCAGCGCCGGCTTGCCAGTCACGAGGTTGTACCATATGGTCTTTCAAGTTGCAGCGATATTAGTCAGACTGTTACCCTCGCATTTCTTGGGGAAGCATTATGCCAATGTGTACAACTTGGTGCGGCGGCGATCTGCCAGCAGAGACTATTGGTTTGACGGAGCGCTAGATACGTAGCGAGAGCAATATTGAGTGATGAAGTCCGCAACTGTTCCTCTTAGCGTATCGGGACTGTCTGCCGATCCTGATGGATATGTCGAACTCGACCACGTGAGACCCACTTTTCATATGATTATATGCTAATCGGTTGCTTCTGTTCTTACTTGTATCGCATTGGAAGGGAGGCCACGGAGCGGTGCACAGCCCCTCCCCCTTCCCACGATATGACTTACTTCTCGAGTGTGAAGCATTCACGGAAGAACACCGTATCGTAATCGAGCAGATAGAAACAGATCTTTTTTCGTCAATTGTCGTTCCGTTCATGTTGGCGTGTATTGATACGTAGTGGCCTACTGTGAAGATTTTATGTCGCATAAGAAGATGATGAAGAAATAGCGAGGGATCCACCGCTCTAATTCGCGATGATGGTACAATCGGAGAGATGATGGCCCTTGCTTCGATGCAATAAACAACAATTGATCAAGTCATCGCGCCACCTTGTGGATGCAGTCCTTAAGTTTCCCGATGCTTCACAGTCGTGTTAGCGAGGACCTCGGATCAAGAGAGAACGGTGCCGATGTGGCTATACCCAAAAAGCATAATTCAATAACGCTATTTGCCAATGGTATGTAATATATATAGTAGTTAAGTAATATAGGCGATATAGTTAATAGTTTAAATAATATAGGCGATGTTCGTGGAACACTAGAAGTATTTGCTAAGAGTGCCCAATTCTCCTTGGAGGCGCTACAGAAAGTCATTGTGAAGGTTTTGGCCGGTAAAATTCTGGCATTAAAAGACCAGCATCCTGATTTTCTCTCTTCCAGGTAGGGCTGGGATGACCAATGAGAATTTCCTCCATGATAAAAAAAGGGACCAGCCGAACTAGGTTGAATATATGTCAAAAATATACAAGTGTTGATTAAACTTTCAAAAATGACATAATATTTTAGATAACATCATTTCTAATTTAGATTTAATAGAGGTCTGAAAGCGATAATAATAAAAAAGGATTTTTATAAGGAATTTTTCCGAATAAGCTGTTTATATATCTTTCAAGCAATATATCCTATTTGATAGTTACTCTATCAAATAAAGTCCGTAATACTTAAAATCGCAGATTTAATTTTTTGAAAAATTTTAAATTTTAATTTCATATATACTATTATCTATCTATATCTAATTATCTATCTATATATCTAATTAAATATATATATATATATATATCTATATATATTATAGGAATCAACATTCTATATTTTGTTATTGTTTCAGGCAAAGGGAAACGAAAGGAAAGCAAATTATACGAAATAAACGCAATCGACTTTTTTATATTTCTTTTTTACTTATCGTTCTTCACTATTATATTCTCTTTACTTTATAAATACATTTATACGTTATAGAAATGTATTTCATATTTAAGTTTTATTCGTTTCTTTTTAAATTTCTATTTAAAACGAAATTTTTATTTTAATAAAAATTTGATTTATGCTTCATACGATTAACGTCATTAATACGACTAATTTTAATTTTCGATATATTAATACTTGAAATATAATGGAAAATATAACGGAAGAAGAAAAAAATATGTAAATCGAAAATAAAACAAAAGAAACGAAAATCCTAAGATTTTAAATTTTTATTTTATTCGTCATTTTATTCCTTTATTATTATTAATATAATATATTAAAACTTTATTTATCGGTTAGAGAATTATTTTTTTTTTTATCTTTTGATAAACTTGTTTCATTCTTTATTTTATTATTTATATATCATCGTACTCGACGAATAGTTAGTTCTCCAATTCATCGATTTATATATTATAAAATCTTTATCTTTCGATATTTCGTTTATTCAATATTTATATTTATAATATTATAATTATTTACATTTTAATAATTTCTTCATAGCGTTTTTATTCGAGAAACAAAGAAATTCCGTTTCGCTTGTCTTCGGAACTACATATAATTGATGCATATTCAATGATAACCCGTACGAAATACGTTCGCTGTAATATTTGTAAAATATTTATCTTTAAAATTTTATCAATTGTTGTTTTTATTTTAACAATTGTTGTAGCGTTTCATTCTTTCACAGTACGTTAGACACAGATATTACAATTTAATATTTTTAGTTTTTTTAAATTTAATGGTTTATTTTCTTATTTTATCAATAACATTTTTGATAATAATTTTTTCTTTTTCATTATTATTATTATTAATCATTAATTCATCATTATTATTATTAATTAATACGATGTTATAATATTAAATAAATAAAGTTAATATTATATAAAGGAATTTTAATGATATTTTCTTTTCACTTTTTTTGATCGTTCTTGTTGGAATTTTTTGATCGTTCTATATATTTCCGATTTTTTAATTGTAACTAAATATAATTTTTTTATATTCCTGCATATATTTTTATTTTGTTTAATTTAATTTTTAAATGTTTGAATTACAATTTTTTTATAAGAATATATTTATTGTTGATTTAAAAAAAAAACATGATTTAGGACGTTGAAAAAAATTAGAAAAAGAATTGATTCAACATAAATCAAACTATTTAGAGTATTATGAATGTAAGATTTTGATCAGAGAAATGAAGATGACGTTCGAAGATGTTAGTAGGTAATTTTGAAGGAAATATATAAAAATAAGCGAAGTAAAAGAAAAGAGTAAAATTTGTTAAAGGAGATATTGAAATTAAATAATCAAAATTGAAACTTAGACGAAATGGTGGAAATATATATAATTCACTGTTGAAAAGAATCCTCACGAGACGGAATAGGATCAAGAGATATTCTTTGCAAGGATTAATTATCTTTCAGATGTTTTGTTGATGCTACATCCTTGATACTACACGCTACTAGTAGTAAAAGAGCTGCCATAATTTGAATGTTCAAAATGCTGAAAATTATTTTCTATTTATAAATTTTTCGTTAGGATAGTCATCTAAGATTGAAAACTAAAATAATTTCGAAACTATAAATAAACGATATAATAATAAAATACCTATAATATGTCTAGCTTATTCGTATATATATGATTATTATCTTAACTACTCAAATACAAAAAAAGTAAACTATTGTTAAAATTACTCTACATATTATGAGATATTACAAAAAAAAAAATATTTAAAAAAAATTTTTTTATATTATATGGATACATTAGAATATTCTGAATTCTATGCCTACAATATCGATGTTAGATTGTTGTTTTATAGTTCCTCTCTGTTACAGATTAATAAATCACGTTAGGAACAAAAGAACATGCAAAAATAGACGTTTATTTTTCACATTAACTAATCAAACCGTTCTTTCTATGAAACTTTTATTTTGAATGTACGTATAAGTATCATTTTAATATTATTATTTTTAATTTTTAAAAAATCATTTAAAGTTCATATATATTAATATTTAATTACATCAACTTTCGAGATAGGGGAAAAAGAATTTTAATTTTTTTTTTTTAAATTCTGAATTAATGTCTATAATTAATGTTACATTGTTAGCTTCAATCCGTTCCTGGAACTGTGGTATAGAGTAATAAAAATAATTATTACAAAATTTGCTGTTAACAAATTCAATTAGCAAGACAATCAAAAGCAAAATCCATAATGACAGTTTATATTGTCACTAAGATTCGAAATTATATGTTCGGAAAAAGTTCTAAATTCAAAAAGTTTTTGAAAGATACAGGATTCTAAAAGTTCGAAAGATTTAACGATTCAGAAAGTTCTGATAGTTCTGGCTCTCGAAATTCTGACAGTTCAAAACGACTCTCTAAAGCCCCCTCCATATTAATCTCGCGGGCTTGCGAGTCTTCAGTAGGATACATTGACAAAAAACATTGTGAATCAGCCCTCTGATTAAGCGACATTCCCAATCCAAAGAAAATTCCTAGAATGAGTTTAAAGGGCGATGTCACTTACAAAATTCGTTGTTTCCCAAAAAGCTGTTGTGTACGTGTTTGCAGTAAGATTTTTCTCAAGGATAATGTTGATTGTCGTTGAGATGGTTGGAAATGTAGTTTTCAGGCTCCAGAAACCACATTGACATTTCAGCTACGCCGAATTATTTCTAAATGTACAAAGCGAAAAGTTATCAAATTTTTCTCTCAAAAACGGCATTATCTTTACAGAATTACTCTATCTGTTCAATATCTGTATACCAGTGTCTGAATAATTATTGTTGTTTAAGATAAAGAAAAGTGAAAGAAAAATGATAGTGACAAGATGCAATTGGACAATTTCTTTATTTTTTTTTATTTCGCTATTTCGTCTTTTTTTCTTTTTTTTTTCTTTTATTTATTAATATATATCTTTTTTTTCTCTAAAGCGTATAAACGATTATGTTAGATATGACAATATTCTCAATTCAGGTTTTATTCGTTTCTTCTAATTTTTATGTTTTTATAAAATTCGATAAATGGCTAATATGATTAAATAATATTTCAATTTTAATATTTCAAATATTAATTAACATAAGCAAACATAAATTAATAAATAAAATACAATATATTTTATAAATTAATAAATAAAATACAATATATTTTATAAATTAATAAATAAATACAATAAAATGTTACTATTGTATACGGATATAATATAATAAATATCCGCCATCACTGTCTTCACTGTGTAAAAATCTATGTATACAAGCAGTCACTCATATTGATTTGGATCTTTCGTGGCGGATTACGATTACGAGATGAATGATCAGAGGAACAAAAATGCATACGACTCGCCATTAAATGGGAAGAATCATCCATTGCCATTGATGCATCCATAGGGAATGTAGAAGAAAGTAGAAAGAAATGGAATCTGTATAAAAAAAGAAAAAATAAAAAATCATAATTTAAAACAAGATATATAAATATATATGATATATATCTCATCATATATATATATAATTATTTCAGAAAAAATTGAAGTAAGAAGAATGAAACTCTAAGTTGATGGAATATATTTAATAAAAATACTTACTTCTTCGCGTAATCGATAATGCATTAATTCTAATAAATATTTGAAACGTAATTAAAAATATTCGAAAAAAGAATATAATGTGTTGAATGTAATCTTTTCTACTTTTATCGTAATATTCTTAATAATTCATCTGTATCTATTACTTACTTACCGAAAGTTACTTACTTATCAAATAGATATATATTGTTATAATAAAAAATAATAAAGAAAATAAAAATGTATATATTTTCCATATAAAAAATCAAATGTTACCGCTTATCTGATTAATCATCGTGTTGAACGATTGTTGAAATGATTGTTCATATTGAAATTTCTTTTTCTCGTCTTATAGTAAACTAGTAATCTACAGAAAAAATAATAAAATTTTTAAAATAAATACATAAATACACAATATATATAAAATTTTTTTAAAAATATTTTAATGTAATTGTAAAATAAGCCAATAACCAAGCTCAAATTTTATTTTAGAAATTGATAATATATATATTTCATGAATTTTAACAATATAATAGCTTAATACAAAAAATTGAATAAATTATTCTTCTTGAAAGAATTATCAATTATAATAATATGTAATAGATAATATTAAAAATTATTGAATAAATTGAATAACAATATATAGGAAAAGTAAAATAATCGGGGAATATAATAAAATGAAATTTAAAGATAGATTAGTTACCTGAAGCGAAACATCCAAAGACACGATTTTTAACGGAAGAAAAACATCTCGTGCTGCGTTTTCGATTATCGAATTGGACGAAGAGGATATGCTTGACGTTCGGCAACAAATCGAAATATGTCGAACGACGTATAGTCATGAATCATCGATTACCGAAAACAAAATATTTTCTATCTTAAATATAATATCAAAATAAATATAAAAACAATATATTCTATTTTCTAAACAAACAGAATTTTCTAAACAACAGAATTATTATAAGAAACATTCTTAGTTTTAAATTGAATGCTAAATACTACATATTTAATATATAAGAATATGTATAAAATTGATTGATAACAATCTTGTCTTAATTATTCTTATTTTTTAATTACTTTATATGATTAAAAAGCAAGAGAAATTGTTAATAATTAATACTTTCTATTAAAATATATCATACCATAAATCTTACTATATTTACGAAAATCATGATGCATAATCTATTGCTCTTTTGAAATCATTCCATTAATTATCTAATCTCCATTATTTAATTAAACGATAATCTGCACAAATATAAATAGAAATTAGAACTGTAAAACAAATTTTACATTAAATGATGTTACAATAATATAATAACTAAATTCAAATCCAACTTCGGATGTTTTTAATATGGATTATTAACGACAGAAAATTAATTTCGATATAATAATAATAATACTTGTAAAAAATGATTTAATATAAATGATTAAATACATATTAATTTAAAAAAAAACATTAATAATCTACAAATTAAACCATTAAATTCAATAAATATCAAATTCTACAAATTTCGATATATCTATATCGATGTAATACAATTCCCTCTATGATTTTTGACAATAGACTAATGTCATATCCATTGATTCGTCTAAATTGTGAACTTTAGCAATTTCCTGATTGGCTGAGTGACATGATTTCTAAACTTAAATTGCGCAAAAAAATAACTCAAATAATAATAATAATGAATAATTTAATAACAAAATTTAACAAGAAGATAAGAAATTCATCATAAGATAATTAAATATAAAATAAATAAAATTTAAAATATAGGGAAAAATTTAAAAATAAATTAAAAACAAAGCAAATAAAGCACAAGAAAATCATAAAATTATATAAAACTGAATAAAAATTACTATATACTAAAAAAATATAAGAATTCTTTCAATAGGCTTTAATATAGCAAAAATTAGAAATTTTATTTCATTATATCGTGATTATTTTCGATTGGTTGGCGATTTTAATTTATAATTATTATTATTATAATTATTTTTAATATTAATAAATAACATTTAAAATATTTTAATATAACTTAAAAATTAAAAAAAATAATGTAAAATAAAATAAATTAAAATAGAAAAATTAGATTAAATTTGTATTTTAAATTTGTAATGCATAAGAATATATTAATTTTTAAATATATTATTTTAATAACAACAAAATTATTATTACAATTAAAAATTAATTAAATAAAAAACTAACAATAATTAAATTGAATTATAATAAAAAACTCATTTTTCACAACATGAATAATTAAAATACATTCAAATCCAACCGTTGTTATTTTATGTCACATCGCGATTTCAGAGAAAAAAGATCATGATTTAGGAATCACTTTTTCGATCAAATTTTTATAAGAGATACGTCGAATTCAATTTTTATCTAAATTTAATTCTTAATTTGCTTTCATTTTTAACTTTTAATTTTATTTCATTTCTATTTTCAATTTTTAATTTATTGATTAACTTTTAATTTTTAATTTATTGATTAAGTTTTCATTTTACTTTTAAATTGTTTAATTATATATAATACGTTAATTTTAATTTATAATTTGTTTGAAATTTTATTTATATTTAAATTTTATTTATTTTTATTTTAATTTGTTCCTCAATTTTTAATTTATATTAATTTCTAATTTTTAATTTTATTTTAACTTGTTATTTAATTTCTAATTAAATTTAATTTTTAAATTTACTTTTATTTATTATTTAGATTTTAATTTATCTTTCAATGATTAATTTTAATATAATTTATAATTTTTTATTTAATTTTTAACTTTTAATTTTATTTCAATCTAATTTTTAACTTAATATCTCTTCTAACTTTTAATTTAAAAAAAAACTTTTATCTTTTAATTTAATTTGATTTTAAATTTCTAATTTTTTATTCGCATTAACTATTATTATATAACTATTATTATATCGCATTAAAATTATTGTTCTATTTGTAAAAAATTTTTTAATAAGCATAAATTTATAATTTTTTCAATCACGAAATAATTTATATATTATATATTATAATATATTTATATAATATTTATATAATAATACATATAACTTACATATAATTACATATAATATATATATTATGATCATTTTAGAATTTGGTAAAAAATCAAATAATAGTCACAGATCTCTAAGGAAAATGTAATATCAAAATCTTATTCAATCTCATCGATCAATTATATTGACAACATATATTGATACAAAAAGTAAAATAAATGCTTTAGGTTTCTTGATATTGAATTAAATATTGCATGATTATTTGAATTTTAATTTAAATTAAATTGTTATGAGTATTAGCAGAAATTTTTATTAGCAAACAAAATTAGAGTTATCCACTATTATCCAATATCTTTCTTTATTCACAAATTTTTATTTCTTATTTAATTTCGTTATTCTTGATTGATTATTATCAGTCATTTTAATTTATAGTTATAAAATGGTCCATTACATATAAATAATCTATAATTGTTTTTCACGTAAAATGACATTTAGAATATCTTAATACAATAATGGTTGAATAAGTTGAAAACTAATATCACAGAAATATAAATTTAATTTTAGTTTAGTTTTAGTTAAAAATATATCATTAGTTTATAAATATATATATATATATATATATAAATATATATAATTATTATATTAATATCATAATAAATTGTTAAAAATGTGATCAAACAATAAAAATAAGATATATCAATTTTTTATCGTAATAAATTATTATCATGTTATAAATTAATAATAAAAATTAAAAAATTCTTGAATTATTGTACTCGAAAAATCAAATTTGGTTCAATCGGTAAAAAACATGCGTTTTCGTCGAACTTCGTGACAGAGACAGCGATCTCCTATATATACGATGCAATGCAACAATCATTTCTTAACAAACTTACGTATCGAGAAGATCAATGATATTTTAACTATGCATCTTGATCTTCCTATTGGTCTTCTTCACAACCTGTTTTTTCGCTCTACCCAGAATAATATATTCCTGTGAGTGGTCTGTCCCTCTTTTTCGATTGAAGTTCGATAGACTTTACCATCGCAATTTTCAGTATCGCAATTACTGATATCTAGTGAGCACGCTATTATTACAATCAACTTCCCCGTATGACCGTTCCCGCGAGACATTGACTGCATTTTTATGCTTCCAATATAGACACTGTTGTTTTCTCTAATAGCATAACACCGGAGGTTCCGATATGCTTTAATTTACCTTCGTCGCATGAAACCAAGTCCTTGCTCTCCTCCACTTCTCTAATGCCACCTCCTTCCTCTCTTCTGTTAAAATTAGGTTAATTGAAATTGGACTTTGCATAATGGGTGCCACGAAAATAGTCAGAAAATATGTTCATTCAGGTAAAGTCGTCCTGTTTGGGCAAGACTTGTATTGGGTAAGACCCAATTATGGAGGGAAGCAGGACGCCAGTTGGCCATGTTGTTATACTTGCCGACCACCAGTGCCCTCGATGTCCTTTTCACCACGCGTCATAGTTCAAGAATATTTTTTTATAGAGAGCAGATCTCCGCTAACAAATAAATCGGGAAAAAATCTAATGTCATCACCATTGTGCGAAAATCGTGCGATATTCTCTTACGATTCTGATGTTGAATCTACCATATATCGAATCTCATTATGCTGCGACAACTAGCCATCAAAGTAAAATCTTAAATTTAATTTAAAATAAAAAAAAAGAAAAAATTAATAATCAACAGAAAAAATATTTTAATTTTATTTTATTAAACTTTTTTTGTTTTTCATATTTTATTTTTGTTTTTCATATTTTATTTTTGTTTTTCATATTTTGTTTATAAAATTCATTGATTTTTTTTATATTACAAATAATTAAAATGATCATTATTTTTTAATCAATAAATAATTCAAAATATTCTTCTATGAATTAAATATGATAAGATCGTTTGAACTATTGAATTTTGCTTAAATAATATGCTTAATTGCATTCTGTTTTAAGATATAATATTGTATCCATTGGGAAATTTTATTTTTATTAGTTATATTTTCCTTAATTTTATTAATTATATTTTCTTTATCTTAAAAAATTATTGATATCAAATTCTTTGTTTTTTATTATAATCGAAGCATCATTGCATATTCTTTATCAGAAAAAAAATTATCTTCGAAATTTCTAAACACTTCATAATTATTTATAGATTATTTTTCATAGATATTTTTCATACTATAAAAATTTATATATGTAACACAAGAAAATAGAAAGTATTCAATTATATAAATATATATATTTTATAATATATATTATATATATTATAAAATATTATATTATAAATATTATAAATTTATATATAACTTATTAGTGTAAAAAAATCTTCGACTAATAAAAAAAAATGTGTACGTATATGAAAAAATATATATATTTTGTCAGGGATTCTTATCTATAAGCTTAGCCTTTTTAATGGTTTTCAAATGTGCATACAATTAAAAAAAAAAATTTCTTAAGAATACATTTTTTTCTTTCTTCATAAACTTATAGAAAAAGAGAAAAAAATCTTGTTCCTCGAAGTGATTATTAGAAAAATGGTCAAAAAATGATCAAATTTTTATGAATATTATAGATAATATAATTGTAATACAGTTCACTTATAAGAAAATATCATCTGTTACAAATATCCAACATTGTATATTCTTATCGAGTTTCCATCTACCTATTAATACTATCACGGTTGTGAACAAATATATAAAAAAATTAATTTAATATATATATATAATATATATTTCTCATGAGAATTTATACATTGCTTTTCTTTGCAATATAAATCATGAGAAATATATATATATATATATATATTATATATATATAATATATATATTTCTCATGAGAATTTATACATTGCTTTTCTTTGCAATATAAATCATAAAATTAAACGAAGGCCACATTTTGAGGCATACAGATCGCCTTATCGATATTAACATAATCGCCAAGAATTTTGCAAAGTATTAGGGTGTCTCAAGTTTTTTCTTTTTTTTTTTGTTACGAAATGAATACATAATATTTGTTGTTTAAGATTGTTGTTTAAGATTGTTAAGATTTTTGCATTATATATAAATTCTGCTCTATCATCTTCTTCCATCTCTCAGGAAGCCTCATTATTCTCTTTTTCTAAAATTGTTATTTGCAAAATATTCTTCAAGATGCGTTTTTATTTCGCTTACACATCAGAACTATTTATTATGGAAATAATTTTTTAATAACA